GATTATAGGTTTAGAGATAGAAGGGACCTTCAAGATTATCAAGCAAGCAAGCATTCATTAAATACCTCTGTGCCTGGTGCTGCACTAATTTCAGACGATACAAAAACAAAAGTTAAATAGCCCTTCCCCTCAAGGTGCTTACATCCTAAAAGGGGAGACAACACGGACATGAATAGGTACTTGCACTAGAGACCTTCTACTCCCAAAGTCTTCAAAGTCACATAAGTTGTAAGGATCAGAATCAGGACTTGAATACATGTCTTTTGTCTCTGAATCTTTTGCTCTTTCTGGACAGAGAGAAGGAAGCAATGAGTAAGATATGACAGAGGGTGGGGCAGCTAGTTGGTGAAGTGAATAGAGCTCTGGCTTTGGAATCAGGAAGACCTGAGTGCAAATCTAGCCCCAGACACTTAATACTCACTAGTTATGTGACCCTGAGCAAGTCACTTAACCCCGATCACCTCACCAAAAGAAGCAAAGGAAAAAAAAGGTAATGAAGGTTGGAAGAGGGAGAGAGAGAAGAGAAGGACCAAAATGAAAAGAAGAGAAAGGAGAGAAAGAGAGAGAGAGAGAGAGAGAGAGAGAGAGAGAGAGAGAGAGAGAGAGAGAAGAAAGATAAAGGGAGAAAGAATGGGAGAGGGAGATATAGAAGAAAGGGTGAAGGAGAGAGAGAAGGGGAGGGAAAGAAGAGTTGGGAGATCAGGAAAAGAGAAGAAGAAGAAACAAATGAGGGAAAGAAAGAGAGAGAGAAGGAAGGAACAGGTAGCAGGGGAAAGGAGTAAGAGAGAGGAGGCAGAAAAAAAAAGATGGAAGGGAAATAGGAAGAATAGGCAAGAGGAGAGAGAAACTGAAGGACTGAGAGGGAAAGAGATTTTATTCTTTGAGCCACCCAAGAAACCAAAGAACTACAGTTTGGGTTTGGGGTCTGCCAGCACATTCACATCTGTATCCCAGGAAGAAGACAGCTGTAGTACCCATTGCTGTTCTTTTTCCTAAATTGCACCAAATGCAAATCTATTATCTGTTCAATTCAGTGTTCGGGAGCAATTCTCAATACTACCACAGACCTCAGTCTCCTGCTGAGACGTCATCTTTGTAAGCAAAATCGTAGTTGCAAATGGCAGAGATTTGTCTCCTTAGCAACTGTAGAAAGTTAGGTTAGAAGGGGAAAAAAGACAGTTTGGATGAGCACCCACATGGATGCCATAGCTTTTTATAAGAAAACAGCAGTCCCGGCATCTGGGTTCAATCGTGTTTCTGACGTATACCTACTGTGTGTGACCCTGGATGAGTGGTACTTTACCTCTCTGGGCCTCAGTTTCCTCCTTTTGTAAATGAAAAGTTTGGACTAGATGATCTCTAAGGCTCTTTCCATCTCTGGATCTTCAATACTACAAACCCATAATCTGTAAATACAGTAGCAGAGACAAACTCTGGGATAATTCCAGAAGAGGAAAGCAAACGACCCCACCTAGAGAGCTTGGGCATGAGTATTTTTAATTTTCCCTTTTGGCTAGAGGTGAGATAGCTTAAAGAATGCCTGCAAACATTAGAGGCAAGTCAGGAAATGGGATCAGCCACTGCAACATCCCTTTTTAAAAACAAAGTGACATAATTTAATGACTATATGTTGCTTGTTGTGTGCATCTTTTTCTTTGCAGCTAGAAATAGGTATGAAAATATAAGGGTATGAGTCAGTGATGAGCAACACATCTGTAGTGTCAACTGAAAATTTGTGGCATTTTGATTTGAAACAGCACTGAAATTTAACACCACAATACATTTAAAATTGTGTCACATAGCTATTTTTCATCTTTCGGAAGCGTGATGCTGCAGACTGGGGGCACTGATCAGAGTGTTTTTAGAAGATGGGATTTTCAAATTTGGGCTACAGATTCATTTAGTCTCCCTGGGGACTTAGTTTCCTCATCTGTAAATTGAAAAGGTTTGATATGATGGTCTGTTCTAGCTCTAGATCGATCAATTGCCTCTGACGTCTATTCCAGCTCTAGATCAATCAACTGAGTATTTGTTATATGCTGGGCACTGGAGACAGGCACTGTGGATATAAGTACAAAGAATGAAGCGATCCCCATTCAAGGAACTTACACTCTAATGGCAGAGACAAGGAATGATTAGGACCATGGCTCGGGATGGATGGCATACTGATATGGGTAACTAAAAGAAGGTAGGTTTGTTCAATTCTTTATTTTGCCTCCCTTTTCTATATCCAGGCAAATGATCTTTGAACAACAAAGAACCGAATGACAAAAGAGAAGCAAAATAAAGAATTGAATAAATCTACCTTCTTTCTGTTACCCATTAACAATATACCATTCTCAGCCATGGTCCTATCGATTCCTGGAGCCTCTTCCTTTCCCTAATACAGCATGTGTGTGTATGTGTGTATGTGTGTGTGGGGGGGTGTATGCGTGTGGGTGTGGGCATGGGGGAGTGGGAGGGTGTATGAATATGTGAATATGCTATGAACTAAGAACTTAGTTTCTTAGGAAACCAAGAACAACCTCCTATTACTTGTCATTTCTTCCAAACACTGCCCCCATTGATTTTTTTACCCAAGTGACTGGGTGCCTGAATTTTCTAAATGACCATCTTGTTTCTTTGTTAGAAATAATATTTTCTTTTCCCCTCAATTACACGTTACGACAATTTTTAACATTTGGTTTTTTTTTCTTTAAAGTTTTGAGTTCCAAATTCTATCCCTCCTGCTTTTCCTTCCCATCCCCCTCCCTAAGACAGTAAGCAATCTGAGATAGGTTATGCATATGCAATCATGTAAAACATTTCCATATTAGTAATTTTGCACAAGAAGACTCAAACAAAAAAAAAAAGAATTAAAGGAAGAAAGTAAAAAATTGTATGCTTCAGTCTGTATTCAGATAATACCCCTGCTTTCTCTGGAGGCAGATAGCATGTTCCATCATGAGTCCTTTGGGACTGTCATGGATTATTACATTGTTGAGAATAGCTAAGTCATTCATAGTTCTTCATCAGACAATATTGCTGTTACTGTGTCCAACATCTCTTGATTCTGTTCACTTCACTTTGCATTGGGTCGTGTAAGTCTTTCTAGGTTTTTCTACAATTGTTCTGTTTGTCATTTCTTACAGCACAATAATATTCCATCACAATCATATGCCACAACTTTTTCTGCCATTCCTCAACTGATGGGCATCCCCTCAATTTCCAATTCTTTGCCACCATGAAAAGAGCTGCTAGAAATACTTTTGTACATACAAGTCCTTTTACCTTTTTTAAAAAAAATCTATTTGGGATACAGACCTAGTAGTGGTATTGCTGGATAAAAGGGTGTGCATACTTTGATGGCCCTTTGGACAAGATGTTCTCCAGAATGGTTGAATCAGCTCACTACTCCACCAATGGTGCGTTAGTGCCCCAGTTTTCCCATGTCCTTTCCAACATTGTCATTTTCTTTTTCTGTTTGTCATATCATATCATTTCAGTATACAGTTCTATGTTACCTCCATGGATCATATGCCTTTTGAATAAGGCATCCTCTTCCAGAGATATATCTGGATTCATTACCTCCTTGATCACATTTCCCATCCTGTATGATTCTCATTCATGTCTTTCTACAAAAATTTTAGAGAACATTGCCCCCAAGTCCTGGAAAGCTTCCTCTGGTTGTTTTAATATTTTTCATACAAGGTTGTGAACCTGCATCAGTTTTGTCTCCAAGTCCGCTTCCCTTTTCATTATATCATGCTGACTTCTTGTACATTGGGATATTCAAAAAGAAAGATCACTGTGCAATTGGAAAGAAGAGTCTGGAACACTCAGGTGAGAAGTCAGTGCTGGTGTCATTTGGGCAGGGCAGGGGTGGGGGTAGGTTCTAGAAGCTGGGGATATGAGGGAAAAGCTCCTCTCAGGGCAGCATTAAGCTGCAATTAGAAGAAGTTAGGGATTCTAAGACGTGAGCCTATTTCAGATATGGAGGAAGACCCTGGGTAAAGGTAGGTGTGGGTGGGGTTTGGTAAAGGAAAAGCAAGTAGGTAAGTTTGGCTGGAAGATAGTTTGTATGAATGGGGATTAGTATGTAATAGGCAAGAAAGGAAATCTGAGTCAAATTGCATAAGGATGTTTGACTAAACTAACCAAATCAAGCCAAATGTTGTATAGACATTCTTGGTGTTATTAGACTCCAACTACCAGAGTAAATAAAGGAACATTCTATTATTCAAATAAATTGAGATTATGGGTGTAAAGTGCTCTCAGAACTTTAATGCACTATGTAAATGTCATCTATCATCATCAGCAGCCTACAGATGGTTTCCCTTGGAAATGCTACCTTTAAATTATTGAGTCCCAGACCCGGGGTGGGCAAAGGGAACTAAGGGCCAGATTGATCATATTTGTGTAGGCCTAGATTGAATTAGCTACTTTAAGATGAGAGTGGTCAAATGAGCTAAATAAACATCCAACTAGGCAATTTATAAATTAATCAGCATCCTCTAGGGTAGGTCCCTAGATATCTGTCAGCCTGTGGAATCAAGGCTAGCCCCAGGCAAAGGTAAAAAGTTGGGAAGTAAACAAAGTGTACTTTGCTTTACTCCTTTTTTGCTTTGAAATAAAAGTTTCCATGCCACTATTTCTATTTTCTTTGTCCTGTAGACAAGAAAAATGCACTGTATCAACTGATGCAGCTTGATCCTTTAAGGCATTCTTAAATTCTGGTTCCTCTTAGTGGTGTCTTTAATGCTTTAAGACAAAAGAGTGAGAAATGTGGCCATTTCTGCCATTGTAACACAGGCCTCCATGGCCTCCATACTCTAGACTCATGGAGGTCTACTTCCTTGTGCGTGAAAGTGACCCAGAATCAATCCTTTTTCTTTCTTTTTTTTCTTTCATGTTTGCTTTCCTTTCTTTTTTCTTTCTTCTTTTCTCTCTTCTTTCCTCCCTTCTTTCCTTTCCCCTTTCCTTCCCCTTTCTTCCTTCCTTTCTTCCTTTCTCTCTTTCTTTCATTAAAAGAAATCTCTTTTCTCTCCCACTGAAAAAGAAAAGAAAAACAAATTTCCTGTAACAAATAGGCATAGTCAGGTAAAATAAATTCCCTTACTGACCATGTTTTTTTTAAAGTGTTTCATTCTGTGTACTCTGTCATCTCCTTTCTGTCAGCAGATAGATATTAGGCTTCAACACTGGTCCTCTGGAATTAGGTATGGCTATTGTGTTGATTAGAATTCTTGCATCTTTCAAAGTCACTTGTCTTTACAATCCTGCTATTCTTGTATAAAGTGTTCTCCTGGTTCTACTTACTTTACTCTGCATTAGTTCATATATGCGTTTTCACATCTCTTCCAAATTATTTATTTCTAATCCTGCAATAGTATTCTATCACTTCCATTAACTGTTTAGCCATTTCGCAATTGATGAGCTTTCCCTAAGTTCCTAATTCCTACTATAAATATTTGTATGCACATAGGACCTTTTCCCCTTTTTTTGGATCTCTTTTGGGTTTTCCAAGGCTATATCAGCAGAGAGTAAGCTCTAGAAAGTTCTGCCACTCTGACAAAAGCTTTGAATATAATCTGAGCAACAGAATGGGCCTGCTGCCCAAGTACCCACCTAGCTAAATTTGGTTTTCTATAAAATTTCTATAAAAATTAATTTAACTATTAATACTCTAGATGAGAAAATGTCCAACCAAGGAGTTGGTGTGGTACTACAAGAACGAAATAATATGAATACTGACCTTTTCATATAGGAGACATGAATAGATGGTTACAGTTAGTTGGAAGTATGGCTCATAAATTCTTGATTTGAAGGAGCTGGAGGAGTTGGCTTCACTCTGCACCCAAAGATAACAATAAGTATATTTGCACAGGATATTCAATCATTTCGCCTTGTAGTACTCATGATGAGCCATAAACAAACAAATTTTTAAAAAGCTACAATAAGGATATTGAACAGAGAATAGAAATGGAACAGCCTTCCTTATAGATGGTGAGGTCTTCCAGATGTTCCTGTTTGCAAAAGGCATTGACCTGATTATATCACATCTTGGAGCACTACCAAATATCCTAAATGAGATTCACAATCATACGAAGGAATTTGGCCAAATCCATGAAGACAAAAAAAGCAAGGAAGGAAAGAAGGAAAGAAGGGAGAGGGAGGGAGGGAGAGAGGGAGAGAGAGAGAGAGAGAGAGAGAGAGAGAGAGAGAGAGAGAGAGAGAGAGAGAGAGAGAGAGAAGAGGGAGGAAGGGGGGAAGAGGAAGAAGAATGCCTACTGTCCAGGTTATATATGTGATGGATGAAGAGCCCATGAGGGTCAATCAGTACATATATCTTACAAAGAAATTGTAGAAGGACAATGAGCTGAACTCAGAATTAGATAAGAAAAAAAGAGCAGAAAAGATTGCTTTTAGAATTGTGCAGCATTTTAAATACTCTCATCCTAGTTCCTGAAATAAAAGCATCTCTTTTCTTTTTAAATTACATTTTCTTTTATTTTCAGATCTGTACTCTCTCCCTGTCTCCCCACTACATCCACTAATGGAGAAAGCAAGAACAACAAAATTTGACATTTAGTCAAACAAAACAAATTCCTGCATTGACCATGTTCAAAAAATAAATAAAGTAAAATGTCTCAGTCTTTACTTTGAGTCCATCGTCTTTCTTTCAGGAATGTAGTATCTTTCATTTTTAGTCTTCTGGAACCGTGGTTGGAAAGACCTTTATTTTCAATACCAACAGTTTTGTGATGATGCTGTGTGACTTAGTATTAAGTATCGAAGAATCAAATTTGTGGATGCCTTAAACCAGGGATTCTTAAACTTTTTCCACTTGGTACCCCTTTTCACCCAAGAAATTTTTACATGACCCTGGGTATGTAAGTATATAAATAGATATACAAATCAAGCATTTACTGATAATAAATCACAAAGAAATTTATTTCAGAACAGTTCTTTGGTATACACATAATTTTACCATTTATTAAAGATGAAAGCAAATTTGAGTACTAATGAGACAGATGTACTTGTTTATTTTTACATAAAGAATTAAATCTTGGTGGAATATTTGATACTGAAGGATGTAGAGCATCTTCAATGTTTTTCAGAGTTGATCAATATTTTGATTTCATAGTTGTCAATGCTGTGTTCAGAACCAAGGCTGCAGTGAAGTTCTGCAATGCAACTCAGGCAAGCACTGCCAGAAATAACTTGGATTCATTATACGCTTGATTTTGAATTAATTTTGGGTTTGTGCACCTTCAGGAACCTTTTACTATTGCCAAATTTTTCACAACCCCCACATTCAGTTATGTGACCCCATATGGGGTCATGACCCACAGTTAAAAAACACTGTTCTAAAGGACAATGAAGGAAGGTGTGGTAGGTATAAATGGGCTATGGAAAAGAGCTAGCAAGCATGAGACCCTCAACACTCCCAAGTTCAGCCAGAGCAGATTAAAATGTAATTGAAAAATACTAAATGAAATAAACAAAAATACAATAGAACATAGATATAGTTAATATATAGTTTTGTCATAAAAAGGTATAATCGAGGAGATATAGTATAAGAAAAAAGGGTCGGTCGTATAGCAAAAGTAAGGAATAATGGAGATATCTTAAATACTATACTTGTGCCCATGTAACATTAAAAGTCCTAGAGGAAGGCTAAAAGCATGTTGCATGGAATCCAAATGGAGGATTTATGACAGTGGCTTGGAGCAGAATTGCACATTTCAAGAAGGCCTAAGTTGGCTATGATCTGCTGGAAAGAATAATCATATATAGGAAATCGTAGGGTCATAGTATCCTGAACTTAGAGGCTGAAGGGACCTCAGAGGTCTTCTAGTCTATCTTCTCCATTTTATACATGAGTAAACTGAGTCCTGTTGTGACTTCCCCAAGGTCACACAGGGGAGTAAGCAACAGAGACAGGATTGCAATGTATGTTCTCTAACTCCATAGTATTCTTTCTATCCTACCACAGCTTTAGAGCTGAAAAAGACCTTATAAGCAAATTGTTCCAAAACTCTAATTTTAAACATGAAGAAACTAAGGCCCAAAGACATTAATTGACTTGCCTAAAGTCACATAGGTAATAAGTGGCAGATCTGGTACTTGAACCAGGGCACTTTGAGATCTTGGATTTCCTGATGTATATGAGGGCCAGGATTAATCAATGGATTAATTCAATCATAAGCATTTATTAAGCATCTGTTATGTGCTAGGCACTGTACTAGGTATGAGGACTGGAAGACAAAATTGAACAGTTCTAGTCCTCAAGGAGAACAGCAACAACAACAACAACAACAACAACAAAAATATGGGGGCCAACTTTGGCCCAATCTTCCAGCTCAGCCATGTACAGAATTTGAGCTGACTGTTAAGACCACTGAGATATCAGATTATCCATTACCTAACTCTGTCAGGGGAGATAATACACGCAAAGAATCTCCTCCCTCCAATCTATCTTTCACACAGCTACCAAAGTGATTTTTCTAAAACATATGTCTGACCATCTCATCCCCTTTCTGATAAACACCAGTAACTCCCTATTACCTGTAAGATCAGCTATAAACTTATCTGTTTTTCCTTTAAAGCTCTTCATAATTTGCCTCCTTCCTACCTTTATGGTCATTTTACACATTTTTCTGCTCTACACACTCTGTAATCTTCCCATACTGACCTATCTGCTGTTCGATGTATGTTGTTTTTTTTTCACCATTTAGTCATTTCAGTTACGTCCAACTCTTCATGACCCCATTTGGGGTTTTCTTGGCAAAGATACTGGGGTGGTTTGCCATTTCCTTACAGATGAGGAAACAGAGGCAAACAGGTTTAAGTGACTTGCCCAGGGTCTCACAGTTAGTAAGTGTCTGAGGTTGGATTTGAATTCAGGTGTTCCTGACTCCAGGCCCCATGCTCCACTGCACCACCTAGCTGCCTCATTGCACATATATGACACTCTATCACCCATCTTCTTGTCTTTATTTTGGCTCTCCCTGTACCTGGAATGCATTCCCTCATTCCCTTTGCCTCTTAGAATTTCTGCATTTCTTAAAAACTTGAATTAGTTGAATTAATTCTATCTTCTCCCTGCCTTCTTTCTGGATTCCCCAAGTAGCTACACCTCTTCTCCAAACTATCTTTTCATTTTCCCCATTAGAATGAAAGCGTCCTAAGGACAAGAACCGTTTCCCTCTTGTCTTTGTATCTCCAGTGTTTAGCATGCTGTCTGGCACGTAATAAATGCTGAGTAATTAACGAGAGATGATCAGCACAAAGAAACAAAAGTGTGTAAGAAACACCAGAGCTAGTTTCGCTAGGCTCTAGAGTGAGACTGGAAAGGTGGATCAGAGCCGGGATGTAAAGGGCTATAAAAAAAACGAAGGAGAGGAATTTACATAATATCCTAAAGGCAATAGGGAGTCACTGCAGCTTATTGAGTGGAAGAATGGCATGATCAGGTCTGTGCCTAACTAAAAATAGCTTGGGGAACTGGGTGGAGGATGAATTTGAAAGAATTGAAAGAGTTGAGACTTAAGGCAATTAGGAGGCCACTGTAATGAGATTAGGAGAGGGGGCTTCTTATAATGATCCATGCCCATATGAACCATATCATATTGACAATTACCTACTCTGGCCTAAGGTGGAAGATTTCTATCATATTAAGTCTAAATTCCTGGGCTGAAGGAAACACTCTTATTTCTCAAGCACTGACAATTGTATCTACAAGAACCAATCTTCAGAATACTCTCCAGCTAACAATTCAGTGGATCTCATTTGTGATGCTGTCCCTGACATTCTCACATGTTTTGACATTCTCCAAACATGTGAATGGAGAAATCTTAATTCAACCATTAAAATAATAGTTCTTTGAAAGCAACCCTAAGTCATGGTTAAGATTGTTCAGCCCAAATCTCTCACACCTATCCATTCACACACACACACATACACACACACACACACACACACACACACACACACACACACACACACCCCTTCTGCAATCTGTGAGACTGATAAAAGGCACACAATTTGGGTTAAATTACCCATCTTATTTGGTTGTTGCACAAACAGAGTACACTTTAATGCTTCCCTGGTTCAGCCTTTAACCTGCTTGTTTCAAGGATGAAGCATGATGAATTAAGGAATGACTAAGTTGCTATTTCAGCTCATCTTAACAATCAGCTCATATTCAACACATGGTTGAGCTGAAGGATTTAGCCAAAGCTGGTCCCTCTACTTTTTCAGGCTGCTGAAACAGTATTGGGCATAGGGTCAGGAAAACCTAAGGTCGAATCATACCTCTGACACTTAAGTAGCTGTGTGATGCTGTACAAGTCATATAAGCTCTGTCTGTCCCATTGTCCTCAACTATAAAATGCGGGCAGCCAGGTGGTACAGTGGGTAGAGTGCCAGGCCAGGAGTCAGGAAGACTAATTTTATAGAATTCAAGTCTGGCTTCAGCCACTTACTAGCTGTGTGACCCTGGACAAGTCACTTAATCCTATTTGCCTCAGTTTCCTCATCCGTAAAATAAACTGGAAAAGAAAATGGCAAATTACTCCAGTATCTCTGCCAAGAAAACCCCAAATTGGGCCATAAAGAATCAGAGCCAACTGAAATGACTCAATAACAACAAAATGGGATAATAATAGCACCTACCTCCCAGGATTATTGTGAGGATTAAAAGTGATAATATTTGTAAAAAAAAAAAACACCTGGCACATAGTGGGCCCTATATAAATGCTAGGTATTAATATTATTGTTATTATTATTTCAACAATTTCTGAAATATCCAGTATGTATATGAGAGACAGTGTTGCACAGTCAATAAAGAGATAGCCTTGGAGATAAGTGGATTTGAGTTCAAGCTCTACTTCTGATATATACTTACTATGTGACTTTGGGCAAGTGTTCTAGGTACTCTCTAAAATTATGTGTTGCAAAGAAGGTGCTGACCTCCATTGGTAAGGGGAGTTTCCTCATTGGAGATTTCCCTTTTCCAATGAAATCTCAGCTCCAAACTCTCTCCCTATGTCCATGTACATGTATCTCAGGCAAGCATTGCAGAGAAGCAATGAATTGTGTATAAGATTAAAAAAAGAACAGGGTCTGGATTACATTCAAGGAAACTGGAAATCCAATGATTCCCAAGCTAGCCCCAAGAACAATGTTCCTCTTTCTAGCACCAATATTCTCCCAGGCATGCATGTTGTTGTCGAGTTGTTTCAGTCACCTCTGACTCTCCATGACCCCATTTGGGGGTTTCTTGGCAGAGATATTGAAGTGGTCTGCCATTTCCTTCTACGGATTATTTTACAGATGGGAAACTGAGGCAAACAGGGTTAAATTACTTGCCCAGGGTCACACAGTAAGTATCTGAGGTTTCATTTGATCTAAGGTCCTCCTGATTCCATGGCTGACGTTCTATCTACCGTGCCTCCTAGCTGTACCCCTCCCTGATCTTAAGCAAAGGGCAATTCTGGGACATATATGGGTGTCAGAAGAAGGCAACACATTCCCAGGGATGACTTGTGCACAAGAAACTGTGTAAAGAAAAACCATTAAAAGGGAAGCATATGACCAGAAAAAGGAGGTAGTAAGAACATGTAGAGAAGAAAAGTGGGCTAATCAATAGGAAATTTGTGTGCTGCCCTGGTATCCAAAGAAATTTTTTTTAATCAATAAATATTTATTAAGCACTCACCATCTTATCAGTTTTTTCCTCCATTCTCTAACCCATAAACCTTTTATATTAAGACCATGAGGGATCATATAAATCCTTTTGGAGGCTATGAACCATATGGGTCAATTAGGAGGCTATTACAAAAATACAGGGAAGAGGAGATAAGGGTCACATTAGTAGAAAGAAAGGGGACACACACAGGAAATGTAGATGACCAAGGAAGGCTCAAGTAAGGTTTTTGTTTGGATGATATGAGAGACGTAGATGTTTGTAAGCAGTTGGAAAGGAACCAGTGAATAGTGAAAAATGAATGAGATAGTGGAGATGACAGGAGGGGGAATTTTTTTGGAGGATACAGAATAGAATGTGATCTCTTATGCAATTAGAGGGATTTACCTTGGTAAGAAGTAAGCCATGTGAGACAGGGGTAAAGGAGGAGATAGCTGCAGAAGGCATCTGAGTGACATGAGATGAGGAAGAGAGGAGATGAGAGAGCTTGCAGCATATGGCCTCAATTTTTTCTGTAAAATATGAGTCAAGAGGCTGGAAATGAGATAGCAGAGGCAGCAACAAAAAGAAGCTTCATTATAATGGAGAAGATGGACATTGAGCCCCCTCAATATGGTGGGAGACAAAAGTCAAATGGAAGGTTTCCTGTCTTCTAACTCGGCCCCTTTGCTGCAGACACACAGCTGAAGATGAATGGTGAGAGGTCATTCCTCTTCTCACCTGAGGCTGGAGATCAGATCAGGGCAGCAGGAGGTGGCAATTCATTGGCATATGGAAGCTCGGGCTCTTAAGTTTGCTCCATGATGTCTGTGGCTTTCTTTATATTCCCTATACTGGGAAAGATAGAATCCCAATTTATTAGTGGTTAGGCCTCATTGAATAGTGAAAAAACAGAAACCAAGATCACTTCAATTGGGAAGCTTTTGATGAATATCTTGGTGGGTGGTTTTGGTGCTCAATTTCTCAGGGCTCCATAACCTATTGGGTATATGTAATTACCCTGTCTTCATGACATTAATAGATCTGTCCACCAAAAATGGGGGAAAATATATATGTATGTACACATGCATTATATATGTGTATAATATATATACATAATATATGTACATAGTATATATATGTATATATGTGTGTGTATAAATTTTTTTTAATGATTTTGTTGTTGCCCTAGAGATTAATGACTTCTCCTTTCCCACAAGTTTTAGCAGAATAATGTTGGGTGCTGTTTTATAGGATTTTAAAGTTAGCAAAGCACTTTTGATAAAGGATCTTGTTTGAGATTCTCAACACAACCCTATGTCTTACATACTTCAAATACTGTCATTCCCATTTTGTAGATGAGGCAACTGAATCTCAGAGTGATTGAGTAAATGGCTTTCCCTCATTTCACAGATCAGGAAATTGGATGAAAGAAGTTAAGTGATTTGCTCCTGGTCAGAAAGCTTAGATTTGAACCATTACAGGAACAGATCTGTTCAGAAGCTTTCTTTGGGTCAAATACTTCTATTCCTAAGCATGGCCAATTTGCATGCAATTACACAGACCAAAAGACCAAAACCAAAGCTTTATAATCCATATCTTCAAAATTACTTGTGTTCTTGCCCTAAAATCAGATTGCTATATTTAGGAATGATCACCAAGAGACATCTGCCCAGCCAAGAGAGTGAGCTTTTCATAACTAATGTTTCCTATTTATTTCAGCAGCTAGGCACCTCCTAGCACAACAAACAGTTACCTCTGGCAAGAAAGATGAAATTTTAGGTAGCTTTGCTTCTAGAGGTTGTCTAAAATTACAGACAGTGCTAATTAATGGCAACACAGACTTAGAACCTGCAGCTCAGAAAATCTGAGAGAAAAATAGAGCGTTGTCAGAAGCTCTAAAGCTGGGAGCCTAAGAGGCCTGTTTTAGGGATGCTAAATTGATGATAAGAATTATGTAATATTGTTCAATCTTGATAAACAAAACCTGTCATCTTATAGAAGCCCAAATTAGACCATTTGTTTGCTCAAAGAGCTAGTGTTTAAAGTAATTTCTCTTTCAATGGTGAAATTATGAATAAGCTAGTGAAAAATAGCGTATCCGTGGGAGGACAGAAGGTATTTGGCCATAGTTTTATTTATGTTTAAATACAAAAGTGTTTACAGGCCAACATCTTTTCCTTTAAGGGGGGGGGATATTTGTTGACCTTTGACCCCAAATTTGGGCTGCTTAAGGTAAAATGGTCAAGATGGGTTAGTAGAGATTGATATTTTCCAAGGTTCCAACTTCCTTTTTCCTTCTAAAAGTCATAAACTTGATGGAAAGGAACAGGGTATGCTGGAAAGGAAACTGAATTTGGAGTCATAGCACCCTGAAGCTTACTTCCCATGTGACCTTGAATAACCTGATTTAGTTCTCTGAGCCTCAGTTTACAAATCTCTTAAATGAGGTGGTTGGACTTAATCACCTTTGAGTTCCTCTCTAGCTCTCGATCTAGAATCCTATGATCTCATGGTTGTAATATAGAAGAGACAAAAAACTGGGAGTCAAGAAACCAGGTTTTGTAACTAATGTCACAGCCCAGCCAAGGGCAAGGCCAATGAGCATTAGCGATTAGAGTGAGCAATGGTTTGCTAGGTTTTTTCCAGATTATATTTGCTAAAGGTGGATGTCCCCCAGGGTTCTATCTTGGGCCCTTTTTCTCCTCTTTCTTTTGGTAATCTTATCCTTTCCCATAGATTTAATTATTTTTCTCTATGCTGGTGATTCTCATAGCTGTTTTTCTAGCCCTAACCTCTCCTAACATCCAGATTCACATTTCTGACTGCCTGTTACACACCTTAAATTAGATGTCTCTTAGAAGCCTTAACCCAATATGTCCAAAACTCAGCTCAATATTTTCCTTTCTCACCCTAAACTTTCCAGACTTCCAAATTACTGTAAAGGGTATCACCATTCTCTTTGTGACCCCAGGTTACAACTAGATGTTATCTCTCTCTCTCTCTCTCTCTCTCTCTCTCTCTCTCTCTCTCTCTCTCTCTCTCTCTCTCTTCCCTCATATCTAATCTGTTGCCATGGTCAATTGATTTTTCATTTTTAGCATCTCTTGTATGTCTCCTCTCTTAAGACACTGTTGGAGGCCCTCATCACCTCCTACCTGGACTATTACAATAGCTTTTTGGTTGATCTTCCTACTTCAAGTCTCTCCCCACTGCAGTCCATCCTCCACTCAACTGTCAAATTGATCTTCCTAAAGTGCAGGTCTGGCTATAGTTTCCCCTCCACCCATTCAATAAACTCCACCAGTTCCCTATTACCTCTAGGAGAAAAAGAAATCCTTTTTTTTTTATCATTCAAAACCCTTTATAACCTGTTCTGACTCCTTCCAGTGTTCTAACACCTTACTCATCCTCACATACTCTAATCCAGTGATATTCACCTCTTTGCTGTTTCTCAAACAAGACAACACATCTCCTAAATTTCTGCATTTTCACTGGTTGTGTTTCATGCCTGGACCTCTCTCTCTCTTCACCTCATGCTCCTGGCTTCCCTGACTTCCTTCAAGTCCTAGATAAAACTCACCTTCCACAAAAAAAAAAATCACCTTTCCCAATTCCACTTAATCCTAGTGACTCACCTTTGTTGATTATCACCATTTTATATTACATTAATTTCATTTGTGCACAGTTATTTTTATGTTATCTCCCTCATTAGAGTGTAAGCTCCTTGAGGGCAGGGACTGTCTTTTGTTTTTCTTTTTGTACCCAGTGCTTTACATAGTACCTGACACATAATAGGCACTTAATTAACTCTAGATGACTTACTGACTTACTGAAGGATCAGTCTCCATTTCTCTTACCATAAGAGACAGAATCTGAATCAGGATTCATGAACCAAACAAATATGGCCAAAAGTTGAGATGAGGATTGTATTAGGGTTTCTTGTGAAGTACTAGAATTCAGGAGGTGGCAATGGAAGCAGGAAACATTGATGGAGGAATTCAGGCCCCTGGGAAGTTGGTATAAGATGAGAAGGAAAGATGAAGGAAGTGTCTGGAGCTGAATGTTTGCAATGACTCAACCTGTTTCCCTTTTATGTCAGCTCTGCACTTTGTCCATCCCTACCCTAATATAATGTATTGGTCAGATCCTAGGCTAGGTCCACTCTGTTTAAACCTGTCTCAGCTCACATTCATAAGTTTCACAGGCTCGCGTGCTCTAGTTGTGCGACCTTAGGTGAGTCATTTAACTTCTGTGGTCCTCATTTTCCTTACTTGTCAAATGAGGATAATAATACTTGTCCTACTTAACTCACACAGTCTTTATGATACTAAAATGGGATGAAAGATGAAAACACTGCAGAGTTCAAAGCACTACACCAATAGAAAGAGATAAGGTAGCAGACAACAGATGATATGGCCAGGGCCAACCTTAGAAAAGTTTTGAAGCTGGTTAGATTTATCTTTCATAGCCTCCCTCTTATCTCCCCTGTAGGTGTTCCTTTTTTCTTTTATGGTATTTTATTTCTCTTCCCTACAATCCTGCCTTCCATTCTCCTTATTCCCTGGTTGAGTGGTAAGTAATAACTAAAGAATTGTCTGCCATGAGGGCTAATGGTGTGGACCAGATGACTTTCCTGTGTGGACCAAAAGACTATTGTATCTAGGTCACCAACTGAAGTTTCTTTGTGATACAATGAACTGTTGCTTGAGCCTTTGGGGACCTGGTTGTATACCATTGTTACTTCCCTATAAGGCTTACAGATCCAGTGTGGGAGAGGAAGATGGAGAGATCAAGGAAATTATTGTTCTTACCAAAGGAGGGAGGAACTCAGGAGTACCAGGCCAGGAATGAAAAAAAGAGGTGGGGAGTGAATTATATGTATATGTATTTTGTGTGGTATGTGTATGAGAGGAGGATGTTGAACTGGGAAGAAATATGAGATAATGGAGGGACCACACCGGATGCTGGAAAACATTACACCCATTTCCATTTCTACTTCATTGATCAAGAATACCTCTAATCTTCTGATGAATCAGTGAGCACATAGATGTAGGTATTCAATCCAGGGATGCAAATGGAGCACACTCATACTTGCTCATCTTGTGTGACTCCTGTTCATGTCCTTTATTCACTGTAGGAGTCCACTGAGAACATCGGGGGCCTTCCTCAAAGTTTGTTCACTTTTTTTTTTTAACATGAAGAGTCTAGTCATGGAAAACATGAGCTATTCATTGATTCATTGCTCTTGCTATTAGGATTTTAAGTACTCCTGTGTTTTGTTATCTTTACTTCTTACCAGTTGCATATTGTTATAAGCAGCAAAAAGCTTCAGTCAAGCAGCCTGCCTATAATAAGAAGAAATTAAGTGTCTTCTGTGTGTCAGCTTCCATGCTAGCCCATGGAGATACAAAGACAAAAATGAAACTCTTTGCGTCTTGCATTCTAAAGGCAGACACAATGGGTACACAGAAAAATATGCAAGAAATATACTAAATATAAGAACAATTTTTTGAGGGGAGGGCACTAGCAGCTGAGGAGATTATGAAAGGTTTTTTTTTGTTACAGATGGTAAAAGGTTATCTGATTTTTGGAGAAAACAAGAAATCTTAAGAAGCTAAGGTGAGGAAGAACTATATTACAGGCATGGGGAAGAAACAATGGAAAAACATAACAACAGAAGTCAACAACAAGAGTTTAAGTGATTACCAGAATCTGAGCTAAATGCTGAAAATACAAATATAAACAAAAAGACAGTCTCTGTCCTCAACGAACTTACATTTTTATGGGTGAAGAAATACATAAAAGGGAACTGAAAATCCAAGAGGGAGGTGAGAAAAGATACATATGGGGA